CGCCCCGCGCGCCGCCTTAACCCGCCGCCTCCGCTCTCCTCGACTGCAGGCGGCTTGGGCGCAGGACGAGCGACGGCGGCCGGGCGCGCGGCGGGACTTCGGTGCGGCTTCCCCAGGGTGCGACCCCTCGGCGAGCCCGCCGCGCGACGATGAGGACGCGGCCGCAGGTCTGCCAGGCGCTTCTCTTCGCCCTGGCGCTCCAGACCGGCGTGTGCTATGGCATCAAGTGGCTGTAAGTAGGGACCCGCGTCCTCGCAGAGGGGTCCCGGGACCGGCGGCTGGGGGCGGCGGAGAGCGTTAAGGGAACCCCTGGATCAGGCCAGCGCGCCCAAAACCTGGGAGCAGAAGTTGGCTGGGGGTCGTGGGCAAGTCACTCTTCCTGAGTCTCCTTTTCCTCTTCTGTAAAATACTGCCCTTACCTCCCGGAGGAGCGAAACAGGGTGTGGAAGACGGCAGAAGTGCCCTGTCCTGTGCAGCTGAGGGTTGCACAAGACCTCCCCCCGGGGACAGATGGAAAAAGAGCTGATCAAGTGACCCACTCAAGAGGGTCTGTGCCCTGCACATAAAGCCTGCTCAGTGTGTTCCTGGTCAGTCTCCTGACCCTAGCTGGAGGTCCTCAGACCCTTCGGACCCCTCCACCTGGGTGACCTTGGGGAAGAGTCAGTCAGCCTCTGGGAGCCTCAGCGTCCTCCTCTGTCAAAGGATAGTAAGAGTCTTTACTTCACTCAGGTCAAATGAGAAGTGGCTCTTGAAAGAATCTGGTAAACTATCAGATGCCATGCACATGTGAAGGGTATTCCTTTAGACAGAAATTATTAATGGAAAGATAAGTGGGGGAGAGACTTCTTTCCATCCAGCAGAAGGGAGTGCTTGCTCTGTGCACGGTTGTGGGCGGTGTAGGCAAGGAGAGAGGAGTAAAACCCAGCCTCTTCCTGGAGGAGCTGCCCTCCGGTCTGGAAGAGATAAGCCCAGGCTGTAAATAACTCCAAGTGCCCTAGGAGAGACCAGGGCCGTGTTGTGGGGGCCCAGAGGAGAGGAGACTACCTGGTGGGGGCACAGGTGGTGGGCACAGATACCTGGGACCCTGGAGAGATTTTTCTAGGGCAGTGCTCCTAAGATGGGCTTGAGGAGTTTCTGGGAGTTTGGCAGGTGGGGGCAGTGGGAGAAGGGCACTTTGGGTGGAGGGACTCCCTGAGCGGTGGACAAGTCCCAAGACAGGATACTGTCTAGAGTTCCGGGTCGGGGGCAGGGAACCATGCCGATAAGGCAGGCAGGGGACAGATTATGGGGACTGCGGAGGGGCTGCAAGGAAGGTTCATGGATTAACTAGAAGACAGGGTGATAGTGGCTGGGCCACCAGCAAACAGTCTCGAGGTCACTGGCCCTGCCTCTTCTGGGGCTGAGTTATCAATTAATTGGTGATTCAAGAGGGGAACCCCATCTTCTTGCATTTCTCATTTGGAGCTCGGAGGCCTCCCAGCCAGGGGACACCAGCTCTTCTCAGCTGCTCTTGATTAGTTTTGTGAGAAACCATCCATCCTCGTACTGCTGGTACCTGGCACTGTCCCAGCTGGTGAGGACCTCTGATTGGGAGCCCAAGCCCTCCTCGCCCACCACCAGCATTTTACTGATTAGGAAACTGAGTTCCAGAGAGGGAAAGGCTTTGCTGGGGAGCACACGGATCATTAGAGGCCGAGAACTGGGCTCACTCCTAGAGTGTTCTGGGAGACACTGCCACCACCCCTGTGCCACAGTGGGAACACTGAGGCTCCGAGAAGTGTGTGACTTGCACGGGCTCTCAAGCTGCTTTTGGTCAGGTAGTGTCTGGAAGAGATGGCTAGCTAAGTCCAGCATCCATGCTGTTCCCCCTGCATAGCCCAGAGTGTCACACAAATGGGTACAACTCAGTATCTGCCTTAAAAATTCTCCCAGCCTCTTGGGAGAGAAAGACATGTAAAAAGCACAAAGCAGACTTTGGGCTGTGTCCTAGGAGAGAGCTCATGGGAGCCCAGAGGAGGAGCAGTTAGTCCCATGTAAAAGAGGTGACTTGGGGCTTCAAAAGATAGATAGGATCTCAGTGGATGGCCAAGGATGGAATGCAGAGCAGGCATCTTGGACAGAAGGAACAGCAGGGGCAGGACAGTGCATGTAGGGAAACAGAGAAACCAGGAATTACAGGAACCTCCTACTAAATCCCCGGAGCTTTAGTCATTTAATTTTTGATAATGCTCCTATGAAGTCGGTGACATTCTTATCGCTACCATTTTACAAATGAGGAAACTAAGGTACAGAGAGGTTAAGTAACTGGCCCAAGGTCACACAGCTAGTTAATTAATGGTAGATATAGGATCAGAAGCCAGGCACACGGGCTCCACAAAGCTAAACCTCTTGATAGTGGTTAAACTCTTGCTGGAACTGAAGACAGAAGGGGAAGCAGGAGAACGAGTGGAGTTTAAGGATAACAATTGTGTGTGTGTGTGTGTGTGTGTGTGTGTGTGTGTGTGGTCTTGCTACATCCCAGGCACTGTTCTATGTATATTGTTTCATTTAAATCTCCCAACTACCACATGAGGTATTTTCTGCCATCATACCCATTAAACAGAAGGGAAATGGAGGCTCAGTGGGTCTTTAACGAACAGGGCGTCACAGATATTAGGCAGCATAGGAAGGATTTGGAGTTAAGCTTTCTGGCTCTGTGGCCTCTTGGCCAGAGGACAGATGGGAACAGGGAAGCATACAGTGGGATTGGGAGGCTGGGTACTTACCCAGGAGACTCAGCTGTCCTGGAGTTGTCCCTGGGGACCCTGCTGCCCTGGGCTTTGGAAAGTGAGCTGAAGAGGGAAGGGGCATTTGACACAGGAACTGAATGTAGATGTGACTGAGCGACCCAGAATGTCCACCTGTTGGGGACCTGGGACTCAGCCTGAGCTTCCTGTGGGGTGGGAGGTCAGGGAGGGGGATGGAAGCACCTGATTGGAAATTACCTGGGGAACCCCTCTTCTACCTCACCTCCCACCCAAGCCAGGAGCTGGGAGACAGACTAGGAAGTGTGGGGAGACCCAGGTAGGCCATCCACCTGGCTGCCCTGTTGGGGGCAGAGAAGATGGTTCCAGCCTTCAGTGAACCACTGGGGCTGTCCAGTGAGGGGAAAGGCCCAGTGTGGCTGGGAGGACCCATAAAGGCCCCTCTACCCACCCTGGGCAGCCCCAAGCCTGCTGCTCACTCAGGGGCCAGGCCTCTGGAGGAAAAGTCCTGAAGGGACATCGCTGCTGCAGAGTGGGTGGGAGGAGCCCCAGACCTGAGACCTGGGTCCCAGCCTGAGCTCTGACAGTGCACTAGCCATAAGCCAGGCCCCAGGCAAATAAATCACGTTAGCCTCTCTGAGCCTTAGTTTCCTCATCTCTAAAATGGGAATGAAAGAGCCCTAGCCTGGGATCTAGGAGGTCTGGGATCTAGGCTGGCTCTGCCTCTGACTGTCTCTCTGTCACTTGCACAATGAGGTGGGGACACTGAGGCCCAGTGAAGGGCAGGCTCTTGCCCACGGTCGAACACTGGGTGAGTGAGCTGGAGTTGAAACCCAGGTCTCTGCCCTGTGGCCATTCCCAGGAGAACCCCAACTCCCACACGAGAGAGACTTCAGCCACCCCAGTGGCACCCTTGGTGTAGGCCTCGCCGGTGAACTCTCTATTCCCTCCTGTCCTCTCTTCCACCCTCTCCCCCATGCACCCACCCTCAGATAAACCAAAATGTTTTCAATTAGGGGTCTGCTGCAGTGAGGCAAGCCGGACAAGATGTCCAGACGGGTAACTCCCCCGCCTCCCACCCTAATCCTTGATTACCTCCCTGAGGGGGCCTTAGTTAGAAACGGTCATTACCACTAATTACCAGATGACCGCATCGCCCTCCTCGGGAGTGGAATCCACTGCCTCCCGCCTCCTGATCTCCAGGTCTGCACGCTCCCGTGAGCCAGCCTCCCCCAGCATGCCGCAGCTGGCTGCTCTGTCCCAGCCACTCTCTCCAGCAGCTTTGTGCCCACCCAGGCCCCCCAGAATGTTTCCTTTTTGTTCTCTGCCTGCCTGGGCAGTCTGAGCCTCCTCTGGGAACATCCTTACCACGTTTCCTTCATAGAACCTTCCCCTCACCGCCAGCTGGGGAGGTGGATGCTTGATGACTTCAGAGATGGATAGACTGACCCAGAGTGGTCCAGGGTCCCCAGACACTGGGGGCCCAGAGCACCCCTCTCTGGGAGCCACAGCACCTGGCACTCAGGAGTTGCCTGGACTGAGCTCCCCAGGAAAGGTCTCTGCTTTTATTATCCACTTTTTGAGCAGGAGCCCAGGGAAAGGACCCGGAAGGCAGCCACTCTGCTTGAGTGCCCACTGTGTGCCTGCTGCTGTGCTGGGTGCTTTCTCCTGTCTCCCCTGCAGCCTTTCCTGTTGTGAAACAGAAAACTGGCTCAGAGTGGAAGGATGGAAGCTGGGCAGGGGTGATGGGCAGAGCAGGCTCAGGACAGGCTGAGTGCTGACGGCCCTTGGCCCAGGAGAGAGGGGACCTGGGAAGGTGAGGCCAGGTCCAGAGGGAGGGTGGCTTCCACAGGAGGCTAAGTACCCAGGCACAGGAGCGCCTCTGTGTCCTCTGTACAGAGTTGGGTTAAGACTCTCCCAGGCCTCTCTAGGCATTATGAGAACGGGATGAAATGAGAGGCTCTGTAAACTGGGGAGTGCCCACCAGGGACAGTGGGTCCATGTGCATGGACAGTGTTTGCTAGATGGAGGCAGAGGGGCTGTAACAACCAGGAAACAGGCCAAGGGGGTGATACCTGCCCCTGTGTGGTCACACCTCAGCCATATGGGCTGTAGGAATGTGGGCAGCAGGTTCCCCAGGTGTCCCGGTGTAGGTAGCCCTCAGTGTGCAGAAGGCCAAGGAGGACCAGACAATTCAGTTTAGGTCAAGCAACCATGCCTGGGGTCTGTATTCATATATACCAGACGTTTCCCAGCTCATGCCTTGGTAGGAAGGGATGGGCCAGAGGTCACAGCGAGGAGAGATGGCCCAAGACACCCATAGTTAATCTCAATGCCCACTTGCCCTGGATCTGCTTCCCAGGCCTCTGGGAAGATTTCTGAAGTTTTGGAGTTGTAAGATGGGTAGGGCATGGCAGAGAGAGAGGCAGGAGGAAGCAAACTAACGTATTAGTACTCAGTGTTGCATGTATTATCTCATTCAGCCCCTGCAAGTCCTCCAGGATTCCCCATTTTGTGGTTGATGCTCAGAGAGGGGCAGCATTTTACCAAGATTGCACAGCACGTAGAAGCCAGGTCTTCTGACTCCCTCTGGCCCAAGATTCACACAGCAGCAGGCAAAGGATTTTGTCTACGAATGTCCCAAATACTTTACTTCCATTATCATACTTGTCTTGCCAACACCTTTTGAAGTAGAATTTATCATTTTCTTATAACAGATGAGGACCATGAGGCCCAGAGAGGTTAGGTAACTACTCAGGTCCCAGAGCTGGTGCCCAAAGCCTGGGCTCTTCCCAGCCAGCCCATGAGCTGGAACATCTGGGCCATTGTCTTTTAACTGTGATAGGTCTATGCAGCCATTGAATGAGGGGCTCCTTGAGGAAAGGTTCTTTGTCACATTCATTCCAAATGAGTCTGGGAAGAGTTGGTGCTTAGCACATATTTCTTCCACAAATGAATAAAGTCCATTTATTCATTTAGATACAGGAGCAAGGGGAAAGGCAGTCCTGGCACCAGGGAAAGCCTGGGCACAGGCATGTGATAAGGCAGTCCTTGTCAGAGAAGCCAGGAGTCTGATGTGGCAGATATTAGCACATGTTGGGGACAAGGATGAGGGACTGGAGAGGGCTGGGGGGCCAGTTTTTGAGGGGACTTGAAATCAAGGGGCAGCTCTTGGCCTTGACTAAGTGGGTACAGGACGCTGCCTGCAGTAGGGAAAAACCACCAAAGCAGTAATCTAGTAGCTTCCATCACTGAGCACTGAGCACTGACCACGGTGTGTCAGCCCTGGGTGGAGCATGTGACACATGTTGAGTTAATCCCTCAGACAATACTGGGAGGTTGCTGGGAGAGGAGAGGTCACTTGGTTTGCTCAAGGGGAGTGACAGAGCCAGGAGTCTGCCCAGGCCTGTGCTGTTCTTTGGCACCAGGCTGCCTCCCCTGGGATCTCAGGCCAGGGGTTCAGGGATCTTGATCTCGCCAGGTCTCAGCCCTGACCCTGGGTGAGGTCTGCTGTGGTCCCAGCAAGTGGGGCACACAGCACTTGTGCCTAAAGATTGGCCCCTTCTTGCCTCCTGACCCTCCAGGATCTCTGCTGGGCTGCTGAGGACCAGCTGGCTCTGGGTGGGGGTGGGTCTATGTGGAAGCCTTTAAGGTTGTGGCGTCCCTCTAGCCTCCACTTAAAGGAGGTGCAGCCAGATGCAGTCTGCTCCTCAGAGAAAGGAGGAAGGAGAATCCAAGATGGACCTCTGGTCCTAGAGTCTTGGAATCCCAGTGCCCTGAGCCAGTATCCGAGAAACTCTTAGGTCCTATTACATCACTAGAATTCATAGGGACTGCCTAGGCCAGCATTTCCCAAAGCATAGATGAGGTTAGCACTTCTCAAATAGTTTTATGCTCAGCAGACTTGGGAGTTAAAACCAAGCCTGTTGCTTTGCTGCAGTACTTCTCAGAACCTTTAAAATGTAAATAATGTAAATGTGCATTATTACTCTTTAAGTAGGGGTGTAGTATATCACAGTCGCCAAATGTGTTTGACCATGGATCCCTTTTTTCAGAGTGTCTCACTGGAACCCCTTCTGGGAAATATAGTTTATAGGTACAGACAGCAGAGAGAGACAGTGATTTATCTAAGGTCACACAGCAAATTAATAGTTAAATCCAGTTTATTATAAAATTGAGTAGCTCTTTAATCTTTTAATAAATCCCTTGCATGTATGTGGGATTTTATGGCCTAGTAAATGAGTTTAATAATTAGATGAAGCCATGATGGGAAGCTCCTAACTCACATTATGCATCTAGTAAGTGCTCAATATCAAGTATTAGTAGTAGTAGTAGTAGTATAATCCAGCACTTAGCATGGTGTCTGGCACATATAGGTATTTAGAGATGAATGAATGTTGAATAAAGAGTAATAATTCACAGCCGTGTAAGGATTAAATAAGGCTGTGAAGGTGACTACTTTGTGAACTATAAAACTTTATTGTTAGTATACTTATAATAAGGCTTAGGTAGGATGGAGGTCATGATCCTATGTTATGAATGAAGGCCACTGTCTGTAAGAGAGGGACAATGATGTGCCCAAGGTCACACAGGGGCAGGAGGGGGAGCCATTGCTCTGCTGGGGACGTCGCTTGGCCTCCTGTTCTCTTGGCTCCTTCCAGCCAAGGCTCCGAGCCCTTTGAAGAGAGGCTGGGGCCAGTACAGCTGGTGGAGGCAGCGTGGCCCCCACAACCCTGACTTCCCTTCCCTTCCCTTGCTGCCTTTTGGCCTGTGTGCAGGGCGCTGTCCAAGACCCCGGCGGCCCTGGCGCTGAACCAGACACAGCACTGCAAACAGCTGGAGGGCCTGGTGTCGGCGCAGGTGCAGCTGTGCCGCAGCAACCTGGAGCTCATGCACACCATCGTGCACGCCGCCCGCGAGGCCATGAAGGCCTGCCGCAGGGCCTTCGCTGACATGCGCTGGAACTGCTCCTCCATCGAGCTCGCCCCCAACTACCTGCTTGACCTGGAGAGAGGTAGGGAGCCCACAGGGGGCTTCTAGGGCCTGCGGAATGCATGCGGGTATGGTAGATTCATTCAGGCATAAATACGTGTGTGTTTAGATAGGTGGGTGAATTCATGGATGCATGGATGGAAGTGTGATGGTGGATGAGTGAGCAGCTGGATGATGGATGGATGCATGGATGGGTGGGTGGATGAATCAATCATAGGCCTGGGTATTCAGGCGTGAATTGATGAATGAATAAACATATAGTGAATGAATATACCAGTGCAGGGGGCCTGAGTAACAGTACAGATGCACATGTACCCCAGTGCCTGGATGAAGGAATGAATGATGCCGGGGGGGACCTCTAGGAGGGGAGTCTGTAACAAGACCAAGGCTGAACCCACCCTCAGGGCAGACAGGTGTGCCACAGGTAATTCCAGACCAGTCCAACTGGAGGTGCTGTGAGAGGCACCAAGAGATGGAGGGAGTAAAGAACATCTGTGGAGAAGACGTCCTGGAGGAGGCGGATGGACTTGAGGGTCCTGTGTGTCATAGAGAGACTTTTGATGGGTGGGAACGCCTCAGTGGATCTAAACTCTCCCCTGCTCAGTGACAGCTAATGTTTGCGCAGCACGTTACAAAGCTTCCTTTCTTCTCAAATTATCTGAATTCCAGAGCAAGCCTATGAGGTAGGTATTATCATTCCCATTCCACAGTTAAGGAAACTGAGGCTTGAGCAGGGGTGGCTTGCTTGGACCCAAAGCCAGGACACCCCAGAGCTGAGGCACGTTCAGCTGCATATTAGTTTGCTGGGGCTGCTGTAATAAAGTACCACACACCCTGGGGGGGCTTCTAACAACGGAAATGTGTTGTTTCACGGGACTAGAGCCTGGAAGTCTGAAATCAAAGTCAAGACGTCAGCAGGGCTCCCTCTGAAGGTGCTGGGGGAGGATTCTTCCCGGCCTCGTCTTCCTTCCCGGGGGCTGCCACAGTCCTTGGTGTTCGTGGCCTGGACCTGCATCATGTCAGTCTCTGCCTCTGTCATGAGGCTCCTCCCTCTACATCTCTGTGTCCCAAATCCTCTCTTCCTCTAAAGATGCCAGTCACTGCATTAGGGCCCACTCCAATCCCTGTGACCTCATCATAGCGCTGTTACATCTGCAAAGACCCTGTTTCTAAAAGGTCACATTCACAGGTACCAGAGGTCAGGACTTGACCATAGTTTCTTCAGGGGACACATTTCTCCCTGCAACAGGCTCTTTGTTCTTTGAGGGCCAGGGCCCTCAGTTCCTGAAAGCAGCCCCTAACACTGATGGGGCAAAAGTACAGCACGGTGTGGGTGTGAGTGAGAGTGAGGGTGTGCCTGTTGGGGTGCTGGCTTTGCGGGCTTCGTGAGTGAGTGTACTGACAGCTAGTGGATTTGGGGGAGAATTGAGGATGTGACAGATGAATGGCTGTAGGGCTGTCCTCAACCTGGTGTCAGCCCCTGTCCCCTTCAGACCCTACAGAGGCAGGTAGGAGCCAAGGGAAAGGCCTTCAGGCCTAGGCAGTGTCCTAACCCTCGGTCACCTGGCCCCGGCTGACCCCACACCTCTCCACAGGGACCCGGGAGTCAGCCTTCGTGTATGCGCTGTCGGCGGCCGCCATCAGCCACGCCATCGCCCGGGCCTGCACCTCCGGCGACCTGCCCGGCTGCTCCTTGCGGCCCCGTCCC